GTGTGCGTCCGTCGCTTTCCCCTGTCTCTCGTTTTTCCTCGTTTATGCCTGGAAACCGCGGGGATATTAAAATATTACGTCTTTACCTGCGATCCTTATAAATTTTACGTCTCTTTTAGCTAGGTATGAATTTTTAATCTTCTCTCTTTCTTCGCTAAGGCAGTACGTAGCTCCGAACATTCACTGTTTTAGGATTAATATATTGAAGACTTTGCATCGACTATAACGTCCAAATATATATAATTCTGAATATTGTATGAATTATTATAGTATGAATTATTGAAGAATAGCAGTAGCTCCGATGGTTAATTATTTATTATGCGATGATCTTCTTTGGCAGAAGAATTTAGGAAAACAAAAAAATCTAATCGTTTTTTGTTGAAGGTCAATTTTTTCTTTTCCGCTCGTCGACGACGATTCTCGTGGACGTTTTCTCGCGCGAGGGCTGGTCGACGACCTGCGCAAAGGAGATTTCTCGGATCCATTCGTGCCGGTCGAAGAAGGAGGCATGCTCGCGCGCGCGCGACTCCACTCGATCTTCGTGCCTGACGTGCAAATACCGGGGTTAATGCGACGCGCTCCATTAAAGTCGAGTCCCTACACCCCGGAACATTGCTAATTACACGTGGTGCGCATAGTCCACGCCCGGCAGTTAGCCTGCTCTCCCCTCCACGTTTTCTCTTCCCTCGTCGCCCTTCTCTCTTCGCCCACGCGCGAGTCTTGTCCTTATTACGAAACTGTACACGCGACACAACGCGTCCCCTGTGTTGCAGGTCGGATTCTAATATTAATAAATTTGCAGCTCGCTAATGCGTGCCGCCACATTCGCCGCGCGACGACGACGACGCCGCGTGGCTTCATTAAGCGACATGGCCCCGCGGTCTTAATCCTCCCGAGACGGCCTTCTTTCACGGGGAAATATTTAAAGAAAGCAGTGGCGCGTATTAAATATCGCTCAAAAGATTTAGCTACTGTAAGTTTTGAATATTAAAGCAATAAATTTCAGAGAAAATTCAGAAAATCGATACTTCGGCAACGATGCAAGAACCGCTTTTAAGAACTCCCTTCAGGCGTATTTCTCAACCACATCCCTTTACTCAAGGCTTGCCCTTTCGTTCCTTTATCAGCGGCACTGACCACAAGCATCTTACGAGCGATTTTCCTGTGTTGGACCGAGCGAACCAAAGGATCACTTTCCGTCCAGGAACGGTCTCGAAGCCCGTCTACTAGACCCAAGATTCCGCGAGGTGGGCGGATAATTGCAAATTCCATTTAGACGACATGTAAATGCCGCGTATCGGCCGTGAGAGCGTATTAACAATCGGGCTGATTGCACGGGCGCGCTGCATGTAAGTGGATCGCCGTTAAGAAACTCGGCAATATCCTGCGAAAAAGTCGGAATTAAATTGGCTACTTTAAAACTAGATACGAACACTATATAATCGCTTTTCTTAAAATTTTGCGAGATAATAGATATTGTTTTTCTAGAAACTATAATACCTAATATTAATATCATTTTTTGCAATGCAACAATTAAATTAATTTCCAAATTTGCTCTAACAATATTCATAAGAAGATAATTATTTGTTAGAATATTACTTTTTCATATTTTTCCAACAATTTTTGTATTACAAACCTCTGCAACGATTGACAAATTATTTGATTGGCAAATCGCGCTTCGAATCTCAAGAAAGATTTTATTTTACGATAAGCATACAATTATGCAAAAATCTAACTTTTTTTGATAACGCGGCAAATTCTTGCACCGTGACGAAAGCGTAAACGAACCGTCCGCAGGTCTGCCCATTATTTTTGCATATCCAAATCCATCAGCGTCGTGGCGGAAACTTGGCAGACGCACTGAAAGCAAGACGAATCGAGTCTAACGATCGAACGAAAGTCCTCGTCAACGATCGCGACCTTTCGACGTCCTCCTTTCGTGCGGTGTGCGCGCAAACTTAGTTTACCCCGAATGGTTATTTATCCCCCTCCCTCGCCCCTCCACGCCTTTCCCGTCCCACTATTAGTGTAAGGAAGACGAAGGGAACAACCGGGCATACAAGGAGAACGGTCTTAGGGTTTTGCGGGAGCGAAAGGCAAGCGGGACGGCGAGGAGAGAGAAAGAGCTTTGTTCCCGTGACGTCATGATGGAACGTGTCCCGTAACTTTTGCTCAGGAAATTGGAGAAGTATTGTGATGCAGGACGTAGCCTGTCGGGGCCGGGAAAACCGAGAGGAACCTTCAAACTCCTCTTCGAGCCGGCTCTTCGTATCCCGGCGGAAAATCGTACCGAGATATCCCGCAGAACGGACGGGCATACGTCGCGGTCGGTGCTTTGTAGTCGTGAATACACAGCCTTCTTGCATGCCCTTTCTTCCTTAATATAATGGTATAAGCGAAGTATGTATAACCGAGCTCTCTCGACCCTGAAGCATTATTTTCTACTTCAACTTATGTCGAGTTTGACGAAATATATTGTCCGTTCCTTCCGAAAGATTAAATCGGGAGACAACATTGAAATTCGTATTTTTAATTAAAATCAATTTGAAAAATCAGTACAAATTCACAAAAGTAAAAGTTTAATTGAATTGAATGTATTTCGGAATTTTAACACATGTGTTTAACGGATTTAACACATTTCATATCGACGAAATAATTTAATACCCGCACGACGTGCTTCGGTGATATCCGTGCATTAACCATCACGTTATCGAATTATTCTAATGAACAACGTTTATAATTTATCAGAAAATTGATCGAATTAGGTGACAGCCGGCGCTGGCAACCGTACTTCGCAGCCGATTATCGTACCGCGCGCGTGTCATCATCGTATTCCGACGGCGCGCCGCATTTGCACCGATTGGCAATCCATTGAAAGTCAAACTAACCCGTCCACGACATTTGGATTCTAAGGAGAAGGCGTTGCACTTGGTAATTCGAAACTTCTGACTCTCTCCTGCGATCTCCACTCCATCTCACGTTCCCCCTTCCTTTCTGCATCTCTTTTCCTTGGACGACGAGGTTCATCTAAGTTAAGCCCTGCTGATTTGCATTCTTCAGCCAAGGACATTCGAAGTTCGATAAGGCAATAAGTGTGAAAAAGTGATTTCGGAGCTCGTCGCTTAAGGATCCGGGAACTTATCTGATAGGAAGTACATCCACGAAACATGAGCGAAATAAATCGTATTCCGTCGCGCCGTGAGTCTAGTCGGGATAAATCGGGATAATTAAACGCGGTAACACAAGATAATGAAGATCCGTAATTGATTAGATGAAAATTTTACATATCTATATCATTTATAAATGTTACAAATTTTGTTATGCGAAATAGTAATCTTTTAGAATATTGACAAGCCTTATTAACCATTTAATATGAATACTGCTGTTTATTTATTCATTCAATTAATTTATTCATTTATTTATTCGTTTATTCGTTCATTCATTCATTTATACATTCGTTTATTCAATTTATAATTTTCTACAATTTATAAAATTTTAGTTTGTAGTTCTTAAACGATAAGTATAATAAAATTCAAAATTTAGATTTATTATTTATATTTATTATAATTAACTATAATTAACCAACTGAACATAAGAGGCAACGAAACTTTTCCATTTCTCCAGTAACAATTCAGGAAAAAAATTTAAGAAAATTAAAGTAGCTTTTTGTAATGAAACAGCAGCAAATTCGTACATTACCTCGGACTGCAGCGTGCGCGAGAGTCAGAATTACAAGAGACGATATTAAGGGA